CTCCAAGATGTCACTGGATTTTAGGAATCACATGGAGAGAGTTGGCAAAGAGACCTTCGTTCCAGTCCCTTCATTTCCTCTCCTCTCCCGCGCCGCCGCCGCTCACCCGGCCTTGGTTTGCGGATCGTGTTAAAAGAAATAAAACAGACGGACCCCGGGGCTCTGGGGCTCCGGCTTTGCCGAGGTTTACAGGCGCTGGGAAGTTGAGCTAGGAGAGAGCGAGTGCCCGGACTCCGGAAAAGTGGAGTTGTCCCTCTAAGGCAACCGCATGCGGACCTGGACCCAGATATGGCCCTGGGTAATAGCGCGGGGAAGACGTGTCTGCCTCACTTTCCTCGCACACCAGCCCCACCAGGAATTGATGCTCACTTTATCCGAGGCTTACCTTACTTTGGAATCTTAAATTGGGGAGAGGAAAGGAGAGGAAAGCCCCACTCAGAGGAAATTCAAGCGCACCCAGGGACCCTGGGACCTTATCTTTGGGTCCCACTGTACCCGGAGCTTTTCCTCTCTGGCGGCCTGAAGCAGGGCTCTCCACACACACACACACCCCAAATAAAGGGGCACGCTGGGCCGGCGACTCTGGAGTGTGAAACCACTCACTCACTCAACCCAGTGGGATAGAGTGGAGTGAGAAAGCCTCAGTTCTACTGCTCAGGCAAAACGGATTCATTGTGGCAAGGGAGAGTCCAGATTCTCAAGAGTGAAGCCCAGGGGAACCCAAAGCACTAGCTAGATACATGAAGAGATTGCCAGCCTTAAGATCCTGCAAGCTAATCAGGCCTCCTCCCTGGGTATCTACTCCACAGAGGCCACCAAGTCTGTAGCAGGAGCAGGGCCCTGTGAGGATAATCCTGATGCTCTCAGGACTCTCAGGACCACCACTGCCCAGTCAAGGACATCAATAGGCATCAGTCTAGGTGATCAGAAGTCGAACTTTCCCTCCAGGACCCCCACATCCTCCCTCTGTCCCTGTTGGGCAGAATCCTCAGATACGTTTTGATGGTCATGGGTTTGGGAGGTACACAAGTGTGTGATGTTGGAGAACCCATTTCCTAAAGACTCTCTCACCTCAGGAGGGCTTGGGCTCCTCCCAGGAAAACTGTCTCCCTGCTGGGCTTTCTGATCCTAGTAGGAAAAAGCTGAATGCTGCCCACTGTACCCGGAGCTTTCCCTCTCAGGTGGCCTGAAAGATTAAAGGTAGGCCTTCAAATCCTCCTATTTGCTAAGGTGCATTTACATGCCCAGAAAGCAGTGGGGCATAGGGAAGAGTGTGAGGCCCACCTTTCCAATAATGGGGAGCCTTCAATCAGTTTCATGCATATCTAAGTTCCCTTCCCTCAGGCAGTTCCTCCAGATGTTAGCTGCCAGTCTTGTTCCTGGAGTCTTATCCTCCTCTAACTACAAATACACCTACCTGATAATAAAACACACCCTTCTCTATCCTTACTTGTGATTTGGAAGCATTGCATCCCTTTTCCTTTTGTGCTATGTTGAGGTCAGCTGGCAACAGCCTTCTCTCAAGTCTCAGTCCCCGCAAGTGATTAGAGACTAATCAAATGAGAATATTACTTGAGCTGATTATGCAACTTCTGTAAGTAAACACAGAAAAAGTTTAGAGAAAAGAAGGGATGTGTTTAGTTATTTGGTTTCACAGGATTTTAGAGACATAGCTTGGAGCTACAGATTGGCAAATGTTAAATCTGAATGCTTATTGGTAATAAGAGGATTCCTGAGCCCAGGTGCACTGTTTAAAGAGCTACGGATACCTATTTGGTTTGTAATGCTTCTCTGTTTTCTTGTTGTTTGGGCTAGGAAGGAAAGAAGAAAGATGAAAAAGCTAAGCATAAATAGTAGTTTTTTCCCTAAATTACAAGAGGAAATATCCCTGGAGATATATATCAACTGGTGAGTCAACATGGATTTAAGAGTAATACACTTAAAATTTTTAGAAAACCTCTTTTAAAGTAGGATATAATAAACTACCACTGGGAATGGGAAGATGGAAGTCTGGAGCTTGCTCATGGGCTAGGCATTCGTGTAGGTGTAGATCTCACAATGCTAAACTGTCTTCACATGGAAATACTGCAGATTAAAGGCAGGCCTTCAAATCCTCCTATTTGCTAAGGTGCATTTACATGATAGCAAGGCCTAAGCAAACACTGAGCCTCTATTGGCACTTGTTCTATTCCTAAGACTCGAAAAAGGAGGGAGGGGCTCCTCTTGTGTCTCATTTGCAGTTGTGAGTTCTCAGCATTATCATGGCATTATATTGGTAGATAGATTATGATGTCAGAAAATATCCTTTTCAGAAGAAGTAAAAAAGTCAGGGTTCTGGGTATATATTGAGGAGAATTTGCAAGAGCTACCTGTTGCAAGCTTGCAAGAGATATCTGATTTCTAATAATTGCCTTTAGTGGGAACAAAAAAAAAGCCTCTTTACAAGAAGTTTTTAATTCATTTAAGATTTAATTTTACTTTTTTGAAGAAAAAAAAAACAGATTTCTGGAAGAGTCTGCTGAGACCTCCCTCCATTGGCCAGAAGAGCAGAGAGAAGACTGTAAATCAAGGAAAAGGTGAAGTAATAAATTATGAGGAAACTTGGGTATTCCAAGAATATAAAGACTATTTATTTTTCCTGTGTCTATATTTTCTCTTTTTGTGGAGGAGAGGAAATTCTAAAAATATTTGATAGATGTTTTGCCATTAACACCAGAAGCGGGGGGAATGCAGAAAGGGAGAATGGGGTAAATTTTGCTTAATTAGTAGAAAAGGTAACATAAATCAAAGCAGTCTATTGATGCCAACCTTCAGTTTGTAATGTTCTGAGAGCATAATGAATTTATTTACAACTTAAGTGATTTAATATTTGCAATCTGATTTTTGTTTTAACCTTTTATTGAGGGAGGTTGACTTTTCAAAGCCTGGGTAGTTTGAAACTTGGCAAAGTACATTCTGGATTTTTTTTTTAATTGTGGAAGCAAATATTATCATTTTAATGTCAAACAACTTACAAGTATTAAATGGCTCATTTGTGATTTACTTTTTTTCTTACAGATTTCCCCTCTTCAGATCTAATGATTACATTAGGCTCCTGAGTCTTTTGGGGAAGAATTTATTATAAATCAGCAAGTGTTAGAGGTTCAAAGATTGACATTTCTGGGTGCTGATACTTTGTCCTTTCATGCCATGCAAACAGGTCTAATATTTAGAGATTCTTAAATGTTCAAGGGAAGTTGTGGAAATTCCCAGATTTTTTTAAAGTGGGAGGAAGCCAAGTTTTTTTTTTAAAGTATGAAATTTAAAGTAATCAACTGAGGAAGAGAGGAACTGAGAAAAGGTAACTCAATCCAAACTAATCAGCAAGTCAATTGCTAGTTAGTGCGATTAAGGAGGGAGAAAGAAGTTCAAGTTCGGCAAACGAGGGTCGGTGAGAGGGCGCTATTTCACCACCCTAGGTGAAAATCTGAGGAGCATCAGCTGGACAGTTAGGCTTGATAAAAGTCAGATTCCTTGAAGCATTTCAAATCTCTGAATCCCACTATCCCTCTGGAGAGTGATGAAACCTACCAGCAGTATTGTCTAGAAGACAAACATCTCTTGTGTGGTTCCAAGCACTAGAGTTCATTTCAGAGAGATATAGAACCAGTGGGGGCTGGTATCCACACCCTCAGCAATCCTTCTTACCGGATACTACCCAGTAATTTAGAGCAGCCTTCCTTCCCCGCCCAACAGATTTTGGAAGAACCCCGCTTTCCCTTTGCGTATCTGAGGTACAGCAGCATATAGCCACAGTAGCTCCGCATCTGCCCGCTGAAGCAGCTCAGAGACAGTCATCCTAATATCTGTAACACGGGACATGGGGTGGGGGAAGGGGCGACAGAGAAGGGTATCAGAAATAAGGTGGGTAGGACTCCTCCCGGTAGGTGAAAAGGGTCATGGGCGCACTCCAGGTTTCCCTCTGTAATTCAAAAAGAGGTCTCCATTTTTTGCGCAGGCTTTCTTGGACAGGCTCCAGATGTCCCCAGCTGTTCTCAAAACAGCAAGAAGTGCAATCTCGACCTGAAGTTTGAAACTGTTTTTGCTCTTCTAAGAGAAAGATTCCCCCCTTCCTAGCCAAGGCTCCCCACTCAGCTTGACTCAGGAAAGAGTCTGGGAGGAGGGTTCCCATCTAACACCCGAGCTTCTAGGCGAGCTTAGGACTCCTTAGAATCGCAGGCCAACGCCCGCGGTCCTCGGCTCCCGCTCCTTGGCCTCCTCCGCACCCGTCAGCCCTGGGCGATCTCCACGCCCGGCATCTAGCCCCGCGCACTGGGGGCTGCCGGCTGCCCAGGGCCGTCCGCTCGCCTTCAGGAACGTCGGCTCCGGGATCCTCGGCGCGGGCTGTAGCCAGCTGGGCCCGGAGGAAACGAGCGGATCCGCCCACGCCCCCGGGTCGGGGGGATGGTGCTGCCCGGGCCGCGCTCCGGGGCTCCGGGGTGGGGCTCGACAGGGCTCCGGGCAGCGCTGGGGGCGGCAGGGCGGGCGGAGAGAGCTCCGCCGCTCTCCGAGCGTTCCGGGCTCCGGGCTCCCCTCCGCTCGCTCGGGCCGCGCGTCGCCGCCCCCGCCCCCCGCGAGCCCGCCCGCGCCTTAGCTCGCCCCGCGCGCGTTCCTAGGGCGCCACCTCTTTGCGACTCGCTCACTTCTCTGGCAGGTTTGCCTCGGAGCGTGTGAACATTCCTCTGCTGGGCTTTCAACTCGACTCCAACCTGCGCCGCCCGGCCAGCATGCCTCCCCGCCCGTGAAGCGGGGCCACTTCAGCCCTGCAGCTCAAGCAGCCGCCGCCACCGCCCCTCCGCGCCGCTATTAACCCGCCCTCGCTGCCACCTGGCCCTCCTGTCGACGACACACGCACTTGAAACTTGTTCTCAGGGTGTGTGGAATCAACTTTCCGGAAGCAACCAGCCCACCAGAGGAGGTAGACGGACAGCTATGTATATATATGTGGGTCTTGCTACAAGTGGCTCTGGAACCAGAGGGCCTGGTTCGCAAAGAAGCTGACTTCGGGGGGGAAACTTTCTTCTTTTAGGAGGTGGTTTGCCCTGCTCCACGAACCCAGGAAAACGGCTGGCCAGATTAATTAGACATTGCTATGGGAGACGTGTAAACACACTACTCATCATAGATGCATATATAAAACCATTTCATTTTCGCTATTATTTCAGAGGAAGCGCCTCTGATTTTTTTCCCCCTCCTTTCCTTTTGGTCCCTTTTTGCCTGTGTGACTTGGAAGAAGCACAGTTGGAGTAGCTGATTCCTAAATAAGTAAGTGCTTGAGAAGCTCCCAAGAAAGTTCTTCCTTCTTCTTCTTGTTCACTTTTTTTTTTCTTTCTTCTTTTTCTTCTTTGTATCTTGGGAGATGCCCTTGCTATTGAAGAAGAGGATATTTGAGGACAGACTAAAAGAGGAGCGGAGTAGAGCGGGGAGATGAAGAGCCCGGACTGACATTTCGGGTCCTTTTCCACTCTATTGCAGGTCCGGAGCGCTAGAGGATACGATGCTGCGGAGACTGGTTCAGCAGTGGAGCGTCGCGGTGTTCCTTCTCAGCTGCTCGGTGCCCTCCTGCGGGCGTTCGGTGGAGGGGCTCGGCCGCCGGCTGTAAGTGTCCCCATCCTCCCCAAAGCGTCGGGTTAGGGAGGCCAGTAGCAGAAGCTGCCAGGCTGGGGCGCTGCCGAGGGCTCCCAGCGGTCACCATGCTTTGCGCCCGGGTTAGAGTGAGGGATCATCTGGCTACCTGTAAGGGGCTGAACCTGGTATTCAAACTCTGCAGGAGAGCTGGTTGAACCGAAAGGAGACCTAGGCAAGAGACAAACTTGCTGTGCATTTCCATAAGATGGAGCGTTTTAGAGAATCTCCTTTAGGGAAAGATCATCTGCTTGTAGTGAAAGACTGGGGACCACGAAAGATTTTGAAACTCAGAGACTCTAAGTGAAGGGTTCCTTGGGATATGCGTCTGTGCGCTTGTATACGTTCTGAATGTGGGTGGCAGTTTGTGTGCGAAAAGCAAAAACCTTACATCTAATTTTATTATGAATGACATAATTTAAGCATATAAATGGGACCATATTACATAATGAAGGCATATTATATAATAAAGTAGTAACAACTTTTCTGTGGCACACTTCCAACATTAGTATTGATACTGTTTGAGAAGGCTAGAGTGCTTGATTGCAAATGAATAGGCAACTTTCTTTAGGTATGGAATCTCCTTTTCTTTAATTGTTGTTAATAGTTCTTTAATCAAACATTTGCATTGTATTTTGAAAACTTGTATTTTGGCGGTCTCATTGGGTGCTTCTTTTAGGGATTAACTTTGACTTTGACTAACATTCATACATCCAAGCACATCAGAGAACTAGCACTAAGTTATAGGACTGAAAGTTGCAAGAGTAGTAGAATAACACAACCTATTGGACCTAGCAGTTCATTAATGTGTCTAATACCATGTTTGGGTGATCTTCAAACTGCAGACTCCATGTGCAGAGTGGGACATCCATACAAGTTTAAGGACTGAGAGAACTTTGGAGAAGGAATTAAGGAGAATGTTTACATTTAACAATAAAAATTACAATAACTAATATTGACAGTCAATACAAGGTGCTTCCTTGTAAATTCCTGAAGGTATACAGACAACTGTTTTATATGTGCCCTTGGTCTATTATTATTAAGGCAGAAAATTCTTAAATGAAATTACTGTAGACATGTCTGAACCTTGGCACCAAAATGAAAATCTAGTATGAATCTCCTAAGGCAAATTGTGTAGAACATTGTACTCAGATAAAGCTGAATTGTGTTCTTCAAATCAATGTTTTGCTGATGAATTTCTGAAAATTGTCTTCAAACTTCTTGTTCATTTGGGGACATGTGTTAAATTCAATTATTTAACATCCAAATATAAATATAGAAGAAGACTGAATTTTTAAAAGTGTACTCACATGCACTTATTTGGCTTGGAACATAGCCAATTTTTCTTTAGAGTTGCTAAAGTAATACCTATTTTCTCTTTTGAGAAACAGTAAATAGATCATGATTAAGTTCACAATTACAGCAAATATCAAGGGCTAAGTTGTCCCAATGACTATTTTTAACTCTTTCTTTGTTGCACCTTGCAATATATACACATCAGAAACCATTTAGCAGCCAGAGACTCTGTTAGGGTTTTGTTTGTGGGTGAAATACAATATTGTAGTTAAACACACTCAGCAGATGGTTATAAAACTACCACAAAACATTCTCATAGTTAATGGCTAGTAGATCATCACATTACAACCATGGTTTTTCATGGAAGCTGAAATCATCAGTAGATGAAGATGTTTCATCAAAATATTACAGCCAAATGAAGTTTAAAAAAACAAGTCATTATTTTTACATTGCTGCCAAGTAAAGTAAATTTTGTGTGCTAGACAAAACATTAATCTACTATTACACAAAATCAAGCTAGCTTTTTGAAAGAAATTTTAACATGTAACCAAACCATATTACTCCCTAAATTTTATATCACACATTAGGGGAACTCCTTACGAAGTACAGGTCTTCTTAAACTAGGTTAACTTTTAAGAGACAGAAAACTACTCGGACAACACTTCCTGAAGTATGCAAAGGAGGCACTTACAAATTGTGAATCTGTCAGACCTGTTAGTCCAAAAGAGTCTCATCAATGGGGCTAGAATATAATCAAGTTGAAGACTAGGAAGTGGGATCTATGAAGGATAGCTTGGCAAGTGACTACCTCTGTGTTTAAAGTTAGAGAGGGAACCCCAACAGATTGAGAAACCTAAAGCATCGTTGGCTGATTTGCTTGGGAGCCAGACTGGGTCTACTCCACTTAATGAAAAGCATAACTTTCAACTGAGTCATATGGGTTGGAAGGGACTTCTGGTGAGTCATTTTAACTCTAACACCCTAACCCTGTCTCCTCCATGTACCACAGAACTTTTCTTCTTAAACTCAGAGTCCTTGCTTAGGAGCTTCACATCAGCACAAGCATGCTGCTTCTTCCTGTGCTGGAAGAGGAATTTCCATTACTGTTTATTCCCTCTGTTCCTTGATAGTTCTTTAGAAATTTAATCTGTTTCCCTGAAAATTCCCCTGAGAGTGATTTTTCTTTAAAGCAGAACAGCTTTTTGACTGAATTTGGAGTTATCTGTCTTAAGCATTTTCCCCCCAATATTTTAGTTTTCTTTTACAATAGTCAAAGGAGATCATAGAGCATAAGACTTGTTTTTCCATGTTGGAGCTTGGGTATGTAATAAATGCTGTGTGAACCACCAGGCGAGGTAATGTGTACACACATATTGAATAACAGACTATTATTGATGCCATATTTACAACTTAAATATTTCGGAGTTATCTAAATTGAAAACCTCCTTAATTTGAATTTATTACATACCACCTGGATATATCTAGTTTGTACATGCCAGTCATTTATCCCTGTGTCAGTTCATGCCTTATTTTGAAAATAAAGGAAACATTTTATGGACCTTATTCCCTATTGATGATAAAGATATGACTGTATTCCTGATACTCCAGTGCAATTTCCCAGAGATGTGGGCTTCACAATATTTAAGGGAAGAAGTCTTTGAAATACCAAATTACTTGCCTAATAGCATTTCAGATTTAGCATTTCAGAAAATTTGTGTTTTCTAACATCCTAACAATTTCCCCTAACAGGCAGATAGAAAGCATTGTACCTCACAAAAGGTGCACTATTTTAAACTGGATGGAGTTGTGCCATATTGTATGCTTTTTATAAAATGGATAGGGTGATCACTGCATTTCCCATGGGAAAGTGCAGTTTTTAACTTGGGAAGGCACTGTGACTCACAGTTGACAGGCTTCCCAAGATGACAGGCATATATGCCAGTCAGAGGGGGCATGAGCAATGGTGGCTTGATTTGCACAGACCGACTATTAAAAGTTTGGGCTTAGAGTTAAACTAGACTAAGCTGTGTAATAGATTTGGGGAGCAATGCAGATGAGAAGAGGTATCAGCCAGGAATTGAGAAATTAAATGAAAAGTCCTCAATACTATCAATTATCACTGGTTAGGAATTTAGTTTTAATATAATATTTTAGGAATAGATAATTATTAAATTGCTGTGCTTATAAAATATATAATTATATTAGCCCTATTCTTTAAAAATGTTCTTAGAGGATATAAATATATTGTGCCCAGACCTCAAACTTGTAGATTATTAAAAGTTTCCAGAATACTAACTATTACCACAGAGTAAGTGAATTTTAATCTAGTCACATGTGGCACCTTCATAAAGGAGGAGAGACTCCTTCATGCCTCATTTAAACCAGGCTCCTGTTAAATTCCTTTCCGTTAAGTCATGTCTTTTTTGAACAAGCTACATGGCTTAAAGTCAGTGCACACACTAAAATACTAGAAGGAAGCTGGCATTCTAGCTACAAGGGCCAGAGAAATGATGACTGAATTTTCATCCCTCTTACTCTCTTCTTTGACTCATTCCCCCAAAGATAAACCAAACTCTAGGAATCCTAGTTCCTTATTTTGGAGATGCAAATGGACTGTGGGAGCATTTGGTCAAAGAAACTGATAAATTTCTGCCTGATCTGTCCATTGTGGAGGAGCCTTGATACACTGTGTCCTGCCATAGGCTTTGACTTCAGCTTTAGCAGGAGAAAGGGTTAAGGACATTGAAAATTTTACTTTTAGAATCAGAAGACCTAGTTGTTGGAGCCCTGGCTTTGCCAGGTCTCATTGTGTGAACTAGGGCAAATCATTTCATTCCTGCATCTCATTTCCTCATCTATAAAATGGGAGAAATAATACTTTTTATTATTCCCATATTTCATTGAAGAGTTGATGAAACCCTACCAGCTTACCAGGAACCCAGACACCATTGTGTCAGGGAAGCATGAATACATGGGATGTAACCTGTGAAATACTCTCAGGTATTCTCAAAGATGAGTGAATTTGCAGGGCTGTTCCAATGGTAGAAACTGGAGTTAGGTAAGACTGAGTTAAAGCAGGCATGATTCATGTATGTAATCCTTAAAATAATTCAGAATGTACACACAAAATTAAAAAAGGAATACATGAGTGGATATCTAGGCAAGAGTCAGGGTGTCATCTAAAAGTAGTGATGATGAATTGATTCTTTTCCACTACATTTTCATTAGAGTATTATTTAAATACAAAAATCACTTCACAGTTGTTCCCAGAGATATTTTAAGATAAATTACAAAGACAAGTGGACTTCTCAAGTACTAAAGGTAATACCCTTGGAAATTTTAAGTTAAAAAAAAAAAACCTTGAAACACAGAAAAAAAAATAGAAATGATCTCATACACAAGGAAACACAGTAGAAGACAGCCTTCTACTACTATTTTATGGACCCCCCCCCGCCCAGCCTTTAGTTATAGGTTCTTGGTTGCTGGTCATCTAAAATTTTAAAATTCAGCCTGTTAGATGGTTTCCTAGATTGATTCCTTAATGGGGCAATTCTCTCTCTCTCTCTCTCTCTCTCTCTCTCTCTCTCGTGTGTGTGTGTGTGTGTGTGTGTGTGTGTGTGTGTGTGTGGTGTGAGAGAGACTGAGGGTTAGAGACAGACAGACCTAGGTTTAGGAGCGTACTCAGGTAAAAGCAGCTTTCTTTTTATTGCCCAGGCTAGGACATCTGGATTTATGTCCCCAACAGAACTCTGAAAAATGTGAAGAGAAACTCAGTGGTTTCTATTTCTGAGCTTAACTCACAGCATTTAAAATTGGGAAAGGAGCATAGAAAACCTCTGAATCTAACCCCTTCCTTTTAAAAAGATGAGGTCCAAGAGTGCCCTGTTCTCAACAAGGCCACAAACCTTGGGAGCAGCAACCCTGGGACTGAGGGCTGATGCCTCCCAAGGGCTGCCTTTCCCATCCTCTCCCCTTCCCTGCTCAGCCCCATGGCCACTCCTCAGTTTGTGTCCTTTAGGGGACCATGTAGAAGACTACAGGGATTTGCTCACAGCTTCCCTGACTCTTCCAACCACGACTGCTTAACCGTCTTCTTCCCCTCCTGTCCCTCTGTCCCTCTGACAGCAAAAGGGCCGTGTCTGAGCATCAGCTCCTCCATGACAAGGGGAAGTCCATCCAAGACTTGCGACGCCGCTTCTTCCTCCACCATCTGATCGCAGAAATCCACACAGCAGAAATCAGAGCTACCTCCGAGGTTTCCCCCAACTCCAAGCCCGCTCCCAACACCAAGAACCACCCCGTCCGATTTGGGTCTGATGATGAGGGTAGATACCTCACTCAGGAAACCAACAAGGTGGAGACCTACAAAGAGCAGCCGCTCAAGACACCAGGGAAGAAAAAGAAAGGCAAGCCTGGGAAACGCAAGGAGCAGGAAAAGAAAAAACGGCGGACCCGCTCTGCCTGGCTCATCTCCGGAGCTGCTGGGAGTGGGCTGGACGTGGACCACCTGTCGGACATCTCCGCAGCTTCCCTGGAGCTCAGTTCACGGTAACTGCCTCTTCTGGCTCCCGATTTCTCCCTGGGGCTCAGCTGGATTTTCCACCCTCCATTCTGCTCTGGCTTGGGCCAGCCTATAATTTTCCTCCCTTTCTGTACCTTTATCATTTGCTATACAACTTAAAAACATTCAAAACCAAGATAGGCCAGAATATTATCCATGCCTTGAAGCAAGGTCCCTTCACCCTGCCCCTAATTACCCGTTTTACAGCCCATTTCTCTTCCTTCTACCATCATGCTCTCAACACCAAATCTTTAACTACTCTATTAAATTTCATCTTTTGCTCAGGCTTCAGAAACGACTGGCCATCTTCATCATTTGTTGGGGACAAAAATGCCTTTAATCACCCACTTTCACACCTTGACAAACTTTTTGATAGTTTTTCACGTTTTACTTTTTTTTTTTTTTCCACTTCAAGGAAGAACATAGAAGGCTTTGATACTATCTACAAACACTGCAGAACAAATATCTGACCATAAACAATTCTGAGCCATTCACACTTGATTTAATTAAATTTACTTAATTAAATTTTAAACTCATTTTAATTCAAAGAAATTAAGTTATTTTTAAACACATGCTTTAAATTTAATTAAATTCAACTCTGGTTTCTACCAGTTCATGAAAAAGAAATGGTTTCTGAAAATCTTCACATATTGGCTTAAAAAAAGACGTCTTCTCATATATCTATTTGTCCATTGGCAAATCCAAATTATTTTTCTAGGGAAGTGCAGTAGGAATGATAAAACTTCATATTTAAGTGGCTCATTTAGCCTTAGCTCACAAATCCAGGTAGTAAATACACTTATGGACTTTAGAGTTAAGTAACTTAGGCTCAGGTTTGGGGTCTGAACTTACTGAAGTTGAAAACCTCAAACAAGTTACTTAGTCTAAGGGTCACTTTTGTCTTCTGTGAAATGAAGAAAACAATTGTACCAACTTTATAGAGTTGGATGGAGATTAAATGAGATTATGTGGGTTAAATGCCTGTCATAAATACTCAATAAATTGCAACATTTTGTTTTTTGGTGCTTTTAGACCTAGTTCTGGTTAAAAGATAGATAGATAGATAGATAGATATATAGATAGATAGACAGACTGATTGACTTATTGATTGATTCAGTGAGGGGGGAAATGGAGCAAATAGTCCTTTTATAAAATAGAAAACCAAAGCATTCCACAATCAAAGGACCCGAGTTGGTACTTGGAATGGAATAGGTAGTCTTCAGAACTGGATTTCCCAATTGCCTCACACTTAGATCAGTGCTATGTTAGCACGGTTTCTCTATTCATGCATTTCCATTGATAGGACCTTTTTTGTTTTTTACTTTTCAGTACAGCGCTTCTGTGGGGTTTGAAAGAAAGAGGAAAAGAACACAAGAATGCATCATATGCAACTAATGATCTCATTATTTAAAGAGTCCCCTGTTACTCCTCCATCCAGTCCTTTGACTCTGGTACAGATAGGATTACAGAGTGATGTTTCAAAGGGGAGTGTGAACCTGTTCACCATCATGTCTCTCTTTGAGTTAAGTTGATAAATTCATTACTAAATTGCATATAAAATAGCAATTCTATTAGATAAGTGTATAGCTTCAGTAATCAATGGGTAATGGCACTAGAGAAATTTTTAGCATTAAAGATTTAGGAATTTTTTGCTTTTCTTTCTTTAATTTCTGTACACAAATTAAGCTGTGCTAAAATTCTGAATGAATGACCTATTCTTAAAATACTAATAGATGGACATCAAACCCTGTGAACCTGACTCACTGCACATGTGCAGTATACTTCAAGATATGATCCTAACTGTACATGCTTACAACTATGCAAAGACCCTACTTTATTTCTGAGACCTATTTTTATTTATTGTCTTAATGTATATGTATATATACATATATATGTGTGTGTATGTATATACACACATTAGAACTATAAAAACAAAAATATACGTGGTCTTTATGGACTTTGCTCATTTAAAATTTGCAATTCTCTTCAAGTATCTGGAAAATTAATGAAAATCAACACTCAATCAATTCTTAGGCCCAAAGCTACCTCTAGGTTAAAGTATGCCTAGAGAAAATCAGGCAGTGGCCTAATCAAATCCAGACCTAGGACTGAAAGAAGTAGGATGTTTTTGCTTTCCTTTTGCTTCCCTGCTTTTGAGGGACACTTTGGAAAGAACAGTTTGTTTGGCAATCAGATGTTGGCATTCCCCCAGTACAACCCAACAGAGGTGCAAGGAAGCATGGGGGAATTTAGGTGTGCATTGGTGAGGATGTATGGCTGTGAAAATTTTTGTAATCCAAATAAAATCTTTTCGGAAAAACTATTTAAAAGTTTTATAAGTGACCAATCTTTTATTAGCGTCCTCTCTTTTGTCTCTTTGCAATATTATATTATTATCTGAGAGGTCTGATGAGATGGCAAGCTTGAGCTTTTATTATGACATATGCATTATTTTTTTTAAAGAAACTACTGAGGTACAATTGTCTATTTCCTCTCATAGAACTGTTCAGGGGTGAGAATATAGCTTTAATTTTGGAGATTGCATTTAAAAGTTTTAATGTTGCAAAGGAGATAACCAGATATAGTAAGACTCACTTATTGGAAATACATATTTTGATTTAGTAAATACTGCTTTAGAAAAATATAAAAAGTTTTTTAGTAGTCCAAAGAGCTGGAATTCTAAAACATTCTAATATATATATATATGTATATACATATATATATATGAAAAAATGTACACATATGCTTTTTAAAAAATTTTTTTTGTAGATGTGTATGGACAGAATGCCTTTATTTTATTTATTTTTATGAGGTGCTGAGGATTGAACCTAGTGCCTCACACATGCTAGGTAACCCCTCTACCACTGAGCTACAGCCCCCCAGTCCTACATATATACTTTTAGGTCATGTTAGATTTTTTTACTTGGCTTTTCCAAATATGTGTCTTTGTCAAACAGGATGAAACATCATTCAAAGATCTTTTCCTGGGTCTTTTATTTCTTTTGTCTTTCTTTTTTGAGAAAATACTTGTTCAAAATACTATTCATTTCTTCCTTGCCTTTATTATCATTACCTCAATTTGCTAAATACTATTTAATACAAATGTGTTTGCAGATAACTACAGTACATAAATCATTGTGTTTTAAGGTCATTCTTTTGGCTTTATTTATAATACCCAGCCACCTACCAGTTAAAATTTTAATCTTAAACTCTTTTTCTCTGTATTTAGGAGCTATTTTAACATTTCAACCAAAACCACTGATGAAGAGCTCAACCTGAACTTAGAAACCCCTAAATGCTAAAATTCACTTTTCTTTCTTTAAGCTGCACACAAAACTTTGTCAAGAGTTTTCTCTTTTGTAGGTCTCATACCCATACACTTTTGCCATGTAAAACTCTGCCCACAACTCCAGTCATTAATTAAATGACACAGATAATCAAATTCCATTTTATGGTTGTTTCCATTAAAATAAATGCATATTTATGCAATAGACTACACAGAGAAAAAAAGGGGGAAAGAAAAGACTGCTAACCCATCTTAAAAACTATTATTACAGCATCTAGATAGGTTAGAAAAGTTGTCAGTCGTACTTTGTGTTAACATACTCTGAATAATAAAATAGACACAGTAATGTGAATACTAATATTTTGTACTTTTAAATAAATTTATTCTTAAGTATTCTCATTTAAAATAAGCTTTCCTAATTTCTAATGCAAGATCCATTCAAAATACCAAGAGAATGAGAGGCAAATAATTCTCAGTGTTTGTCTTTAAAATCTAAAATCTAATAACAGTTTTACAAATCAGTGTTTAAAGACAGCTAAAGAAATGCTAGGTATCATCAACTAAACATGCTCTATTTAACTCTATATCCTTTCAGAGATTATTCAAAGTCTCACACTTTCACTAGCCTTACCACAGTTCCACATGTCAATGAGCCAAATGAATGCCTAAACAAAATTAACAAACTCTGTGTCACTCAAGTCAAGCAATGTGTATTGTTGATGGATGTCCCAACCTACCCTTATTTCCAAATTCTCCAATTTGTCTCTAATTTTACTGGCAGGCAGCTTTGGAAAATTCTCAAGAGGTCCCCTTTGTCTGACAGGACAAAATTAAAAAGGCAGATTCTTTTTACTTTCTGTACCACGTTGATCATTTAATTGTGTTGAGGCCCTGCCTGTAGCAGAGGCTCTGGAGAGACAGGTAGATCCCACCGGTACCTTCCATAGGAAGGTACCTTCCATTGTAATTCTGTGTTCCTTAATGTATTTCCTTTATTTTATGCCTTCCCATTTGTAAGAAAAATTAACCTGTTTTTTTCCTCTTCTCTCTCTTTCTTCTCTTTGCAGGAGGCATTGAAATTTTCGGCATAAACTTCTAAGGACATATTACAGGATTTGTAATAGTAAACATATGGGAAGTATTAGAAATATTTATTGTCTGTAAATATTGTAAATGCATTGGAATAAAACTGTCTCCCCCATTGCTCTATGAAACTGCACATTGGTCATTGTGAATATTTTTTTTCTTTTTTTGCCAAGGCTAATCCAATTATTATTATCACATTTACCATAATTTATTTTGTCAACTGATGTATTTATTTTGTAAATGTATCTTGGTGCTGCTGAATTTCTATATTTTTTGTAACATAATGCACTTTAGATATACATATCAAGTATGTTGATAAATGACACAATAAAGTGTCTTTATTTTGTGGTTGATTTTAATGAATGCCTAAATATAATTATCCAAACTGATTTTCCTCTGTGCATGTAAAAATAGCAGTATTTTTAATGTGTAAAGAATGTCTAATAAAATATAATCTAATTATACCATGACTCAGAAGGTGAATTACATCCTTTAATATTTCTAGTGGAAGGAATATGATATAGTTGGGTTTTCAAAAATCTATTTGAATACAGTCTTAGACTTAGTATATTTATATCGGTACTTATTCCAACATTTCCATGGTATTTTTTAGTTAAAAACTGCTTAAAATGTTCTTGTCCAATATTTCAGTTCAAGTCAATAAGAATGGATGAATGACCTAGACATGGTTTTATGAATTATGTTCAATTTAAAGTGAAGACAGGGAGGGCAGTAAATAAGCAGAAAGAAGTCAGGACAAAGGATTAAAAAATTCATAGGGTTGATGAGAGCTAGATGAAAGGAAGAAAAAGAGACTTTAGGGCTGGATCATTTTGACCACTGTGAAGTTCAAGAAATCTTGCTTTACTGGCAACATCAATAACAAGCATAAAAGAGCTTGAGAATTCTGCCTCTTATGGATTCCTACCAGAAAAAAAGAGAGAGGCAGGTTTGGAAAATGTGACAACTCAAAGAACCCTCAGAGATAAGATTGGTTTCCTGCAACTGGGCAATTCCTAGAACTCTGGTTGCAAACAGCATGGTGGAATGCCAGATGAACGCCTCCTCCATTGTGAATATCATCCTACTTGTTCCTACCTCTGCACTCAAATGAAAACACAAACACGGTTCCTTCTATAGAACTTTTTGCTTTAACCGTCTATAGCTTAGGACACACACACACACACATACACACACACACACACACACACACACACACAACAGAATTTTAAAAACCTATGGAGTATTCTATGGACGCCCAATATCTTATTCAATGTCTATTAGATGTTTGAGGGGATGCCGCTTCAGTCAGCGTTTTTGTTGCTGTGATCAAAAGATCTGACAAGAACAATTTTCGGAGGAAAAGTTTATTTGGGGGCTCGTGGTTTCAGAGGAATCCATCCATAGATGGACAACTCCATTCCTCAGGGCGCAAGGTGAGACAGAACATCATGGTAGAAGAGTGTGGTGGAGAAAATCACACCAGGAAGATGAGAGATACTAAAAGCTCAGCTCATCAAATATATACAACCAATGCACCACCACCTCCAGTCACACCCTACCAGCCTACAGTCACATTCAGTTAGAGATTAATTCACTCTCAAAACTCTTATCATTTCATCTCTAAACCTTCTTGTATTGTCTCGCACATGAGCTTTTGGGGGCCACCTCATATCTAAACCATAACAGATGTGCAAGAAATAAAATGTGACTCCTTTGAAACTTTCTCTCACTCTAATGGTAAGCTACATGAAACCACTAAATATTATCTACAAAAAACTGTGATATTATGCAAAATTCCATATATATTTTTAGAAAGCAAAGAGAAAAAAGCAACACATAGGGAGAGATTAGTTTAGGCGGGATGTAATTAGGATTGTGTTTCTGAAAGGAGGATTCTAAGATTAAACTTACTAATATTTTCACTTGAGCCCCATAGCCCCCAAAAGAAGACCCATCTGACCATTTTTGGTTAGCATTTTAAACCTGTATTAATAGGTCAATAAAATAATTTGTGCTGAGCTTCACCCATGATTTTGTTGGAGATGATTTTGCATCCAAGGAAACTCAGAAGTTTAAGTTTGATACACTGACCCTGTGTAAAAAGGTAGTTGAGGTGTCTTAAAAATAGATATAACAGGGGGTTGGGGGTGTAGCCTAGTGGTAGAGCACTTACCTAGCATGCATGAGTTCATGGGTTTGGTCCCCATGAATGCAAAAACAAAACAGTTATAACCACATTTCGCAAAACTCAATCTGAAACTCTGAATCTTAAGTAAGACTGCATCAAATCCTTCTAAGTTGTTCACATGAAAGATGTTTTCTAGACACTAGCTTGATAAATACTTAGAAATTAAGGGAAAGAAGTATCAGATTCTACTTTAAATGCAAGTCATCTTTATGTTTTTCTTCACAAGTAGCCCATACTAAAAAGGGGGAAGAGGGAATGTGGGTTTATAGTTGTTAATGCTTAACAAAGCATTATTAATATCAATAATGCCTGCAGTTAAACCCTGGTTCTCTAGCACTGATAAGAATAAAATCACAGGATAATGGAGTGAGAAGTTGAAATGGGGAAAGGAAAAAAAAAAAACCTTTGGGGAAAAATGTCATTTTCTATGGGGAAAAAATACCTAAAATAAATAAAGTTTTTAAAAAGTGTTGAAATGTAAACACATTGTTAGCAAATTACAATCTAAGTGACTATAGCTTATCCTTGACTTAAATAATATTTATAAAGCAGTGCAGTTTAAATAAAGGCAAGTTTGTCAAAGCATTCTGGAATTAAAAAAATAAAATAAAACTCTTTCTGCTAACCATTGCCTTCCTTAAATTTTATTCAAACAGAAATTTGACATTTAACTGGACACCTAATCTGTTTGTGGATGTTGTAGAGCCATCTCCATCTCCAAAAGACAGACACTTCTGTAGGAAAACCGTATTCCTTTCCTTTGTATTTTCTTTTTAAAGCACACGCTTGTGACATAGCTAACACATTCAGAACTACATTAAGTTGCTGTTTTGTTTGTTTATTTATTTGGATTTTGGTATTGGGGACTGAACCCAGAGGTGCTTAACCACTGAGCCACATCCCTAGCCCTTTTTAATTAATTATTTTTATTATTATTATTTTTTTTTGTCAGGGTCTCACTAAGTTGCTCAGGGCCTTGCTAAATTGCTGAGGCTGGCTTTGAACTTGCCATCCTCTTGCCTTGCCCTCCAGAGCTGCTGGAATTACAGGTGTGTGCCACCATGCCCAGCCTCAGAGCTACACTGAGAATCAAATCAATGCTATTATTGGTACTGAAAATATTTCATGTCAATATTGGTATCTTCCTTCCTATTACAAAAATTAGTTTGCATTGCAGGCAGTGTCAATCTAAGAAATATGGAGAAATTGAAGGTTTTGGGGGGAGAAAGCATAACCATACACTTTGATGGATAAAAATTCTTTTCAAATTTTTTATTATTTATTCTGAGTGTCAGTTGGGCAAGGCAGCTATTTAACTTTCTGTATCAATAACAAAAGGAGTGCGTGTTTATAAAATTCAAAATGCTCCCTCTCATATGCTACATAATGGATCCAACAGGAAGAATAAAATCAAGTTTTACTTCAATTTTATCACATCTTCAATTCATTAAATAAACACTGAAATATGGTTTAAGTGCCCATCCATATTTATAGCATTCAAGGTATGGCCTCATGTAAAAATGCTTAACACACCATCACAGGATATTAACTGTGGTATAATCTAGAGTAACTCTAAAGTATCTTATAGTTTCCTGATACTTTTTCCCTTTGGCCATAAAGTCCATGAAAAAATAGAGCCAGCGGTGGACAGAAACAATGTCCACAGGGTGTTTATCTTCTGTAAACAGTGTGGACTGTTTTGTTTGTTTGTTTTGATTTTGTTTTATTTTGTTTTTGTGCCAGGGGTTAAAACCAGGGCCTTGTGCGTATGTAGCAAGCGCTCTACCAATTGAGCTATATCCCCAGCCCCAGTGTGGACTTTTACTGAGAGCACTAAGCAGGAGTGTTTCTAGCAGAGCTATCATTCCTTATTTTTTTTAAAAGGGAAAAAGACATTCCAAGCACAAATATTTGCCACTTCCCTTCATTAATAACCCAGAAGGTATAAAGTACAAGATTATTATGAAAGATACTATTGTATAGTTAGCTCAACGCTGCCATATGGTGACTCCTGAAGACTCTACTGAACCTCCAGAGGCAGTTTGAAAACACTGACTGTGATTCCCAAGACTAAGGGATTATTTCAGGGAATTACCAAGTTCTGGGGTTAACTTCTTAAAAGAAGTATATTGCTTCCAAGTCATGGGTGTTGCATCCCCAATCATCTTGAGGACTTCTTAAAGGCAGGAACCTTGTCTAAATCAGTATGTACCATCCAACAGCAGAGAACAGCACTAGTGTATAACAGGTGCTCAATCAATTCTTTATTAAACAGATTTTTCAAGTTTTTTCAGTTTCTGGATCAACTGACTGAAAAGCACAGCTAAAGGAAACCTCTGCTGGAGGTCGGAGATGAGTCAGAGTTTGGGGTATTTTCAGACTCCTATGTCATAGCCTTCTCTTATTCCAATAACAGGAAGCTTAGAGAGCAACCGCTCCAAGCTATCAGCTCTTCACCAGAGTGCCCTTTGTTTTTCATCCTCTAGTTTAACAGGAACTTTTCCAGCCCTATAAGTACAAGAAGCAAGGGTTTGTGTTGAGTATACATCAACCTCCGAGAGGAAGGGAGGAGAATTTAAAATATCAGGTTTTCTTCCTATGAATGCACAGCACAGAAGTTACCCACAGGGCCCAGTTGTGCAAAAGAGGCACACTGCTATTTTGACAGAAGATTAATGTACACAGTTCCCAACCAGAGCTACCCAAGATCAGGATGAGAACATTCACATCTCTGTGTAAGTTTCTGACATGCCCGTGTTTACAAGCGCAATGCATAAGGGATATGTTTTCAAATTGAATTTTAATCAAACTTCAAAACATCTCCCAAAGACTTTCCTTACATTTTCCTTCGAACTGGAAGACATTTACAAATTGGAATTAATACAAAATGTGTTGCCCCTGAAAAATGGATTGTTTTAAGGGTGACTTCTATTCCCTGCCAAATATACATTGCTTTGAGGTCCGAAAAGAAAAATAGTCTATCCATCTTCCATTTGAGTAAGGTAATTGATGGTCACAGTTCATTGGGTTGTCATTGAAAAACTGCTGGGAAGTGGCTCTGTTGAGTTCTATGTTCTACAAAATAAATGCAAATCAATAACAAACTATGCCGCACTGGATTTAATAATTCTATGTTTACATTACTCTTTTTTTTTATTCATTATGAGTTTCAGTAGAACCCTTGAGTCAATGTAGAATACAAAATAATATGTTGAAAGGTTGTATCATTGCTATTTGTAAGTGAAAAAAAAAAAAGGAGAAGCAAGCAGGATTTCTTTC